AGTAGTGGAGCAGTAGTTGTCAATCTTGGGGACACATGGGAGCCACCCGGAAGTGTTCAAACATCCGAATGCCCAGGCTGCACCCCGACCGACCAATTAAATGAGAATCTCGGGGGATAGGTGTTTTTCCAGGCACTTTTTCAGTTCCCAGGTGAGTCTGACGCATGGCCGATTTGATTACTACTGATTTATAGGTATCAGGGGCTTGTCAGAATCTGCACAAAGAACATACACTTTGTGAATTTTCCACAGAGTTCTGTGATCTGCTACCTTCCTACTGTGACCGTGGGCAAGTGACAAACTCCCTGCCTCATCTACAGATAAAAAAAGCGAGGCGGCATCCACCTCGTAGGGTTATTATGAAGATGCCGTGGAAGGGCATGCGCCTGCCATTCTGCCCAGCCTTGTCATCTGAAGTCAAAACCGTGACAACCATGACCCACACACGTAGGGCACGCTCTGAGCCAGGGACTGTGGAATGCTTCGCCTGCACGAAGGCAGACCTCACAGCCCCTCCAGGAGCTGGGCGCCTGTCACCGACCCGATTTTACAGTTGGGAAAGTCGCCTCTGCGAGCAGGCAGCTGGCCCAAGATCACAGAGTGAGCTGCTGGCTCAGGGACCAGATCCAGCCGACCCGAAGGCCGTGTTCTTACCCAAAGCACAGACGTGCCCCTGAGAAATCATTAACTCTGCCTTAATATGGAAAACAAAACAAAAGAAAACATATATATAATGCTTGGAGTGAATGGACAACTCACAAATGACATCGAGATCAGCTGCAGGGGACAGAACATGCAGAGGAGCGGGAGGTTGCTGACATTGCTTACAGTACGTGGACCGGGGGACGTGAAACAGGGGTTTTCCAGCAGCGAAGGTGGGGAAGGTGCAGCTCTGAAGTGTGGGGAGCTGGGTCCGCTGCTCGTACATGGCAGTGAATGCACAGCTTCTAATTCCAGACCCAAAGTCCTTGGCCTTCACCTAGGTAACAATAAATGCTTAAACAACCTTCCCAGGGAGGATGAAAAGGGTAAGAACATGCCTCTGAGCGGTGGAAAGTAATCCAGACAACTGAGATAGGCTTCCTTTATCCCCAGCCGTGCGCCATTAACTCACGCCAGACCAGGGGACAGGCTTCGAGCTAGGAAGACACCTCTCCTGATATTGGTTCTGTCTCTGAGCCTCGCCCTCACCCTCGCCCCCAGAGCACACCTAAGCCAGCAGCGCTCACAAACTGACTCATAAACATCTCCTGAATAGACCTGAGCCAAGTCATAACTCTGCCTGCACTGAGTTCGCACACACGTGGCACCAGCAGTTACCCTCTGGCCCGGTGCCTGTCTGCAATGCTAGGAAGCGGGAAGGCGTTTTTCACCCACAGCATTGGTTTCACTAAATGAAGCGTCTTTTTCATCTCACCTCGTGTTTGAAGAAGACACAGGCCGTGTGTTGCATCTAAGCTCCACACGGCGTGGAGATCTAGCTAAGCGGCTGAGTCTGAGCTGAGACACAGTCTGTGCCTCTCGCCACCTCAAACAAAGGTGGGTTAAAATGAGAGTTCTTGAAGCCAACTAGTGGGGACAGGATAATCCCAAGTTCTACTTTCCTGGTTGTCAGGTGCCAGCCCAGTGCTGCCATTGTGTGCACCTGGGCAGAAAGTGAGATCCAGATTTTAGTGGAAAAAGACTAATAGTTTTTCGAACATCATCACGATTTTTGTGTTTGGTTAGATTTACTGTCTTCTCCCTTTTAAACTAAAGCTTCTGACTTTAGTCAGCCGTAAGATCATGACTCTCGTATAGACCTGAAACGTGAAAACGTGTTAACGATATTATTCTACTCACGAGCGACGTAATAACCAGGCAGATGTAATAACCGACTCCAAAGAGAAATGTCGCAGCACAAAAACTAACACAGAGGAAGGATTAGGAGATTGAATTGCAAATAGGGGCAAAACTGGTTTTTCCACAGGGAGGAAGGACATCACAGACAGGCTTTGCACGTCCATCCAAAACCTACAATTTACAGGGCTGTAAATAGCTCAAAGGGGCTGAAAGCAGCCAACCCGGAGGGCCGTCCTCTGGGCGATGCGTACTTTTCCATGGAGACATCACCGTTTCTCTAGAATGAGGATGCCCTGGGGTCACTCCAGGACCGGAACTCTTGACACGTGTCAGCCATCGGCTTCTCTGTCAGAAGACACGCTTGATGATTTAGAGGAGGCTGGATTAAATGGAAAGAACGCCAACTTTCCAGAAGTCGGCTCGTCAGAGGTAACCCACGGGAAACTCGTTCAGTGTCCCATGGTGTGGCCTGTCTTCTCTATCTTCTGTACCAGGCCCAAACCTCTTTTTTTTTTTTTTTTTTTTTAGCAGCCCAATTAAGATATAATTTATATATCATATAGTTCACGCACCTAAATGTACGATTCGGTGGATTTTCGTTGTGCAATTGGATTGTGCAATGAGTTTACAGAGTATGCAACCGTCGCCATAATCCAACTTTAAAACATTCTCTTTATCCCCACAAAGAAACCTTGTGCCCATCATCAGTCCCCTCCCCCAGCTCGCTTCCTTCCCCGCCCAGCTGTAGGCAGCCACCGATCTGTGTTCTGTCTCTATAGATTTGCCAGTTCTGGACATTTCATGTAAATGGGGTCATAGATTACATGGTCTCCTATGACTGGCATGTTTTCAGGATTCATCCATGCTGTAGCATGAGTCAATACTTCATTCCTTTTTATTGATAAATAATAATATTCCATTGTGTGGATAGACTGCATTTTGTTTTTCTGTTTACCCGTTTGTGGATATTTGGGTTGTCTCTGCATTTGGCTATTACATATAATGCTGCTGTGAGCACTGAAGTACAAATTTTTGTGTGAATATATGTGTTCACTTCTGTAGATACCTAGGAGTATAATTACTGAATTACAGTCAATTCTATGCTTAAATTTTTGAGGAACTGCTAACGTACTTCTCAGAGCGGCTGCCCATTTTGCTTTCCCATCAGCAATACCTGAAGGATTAAATTTCCACATTCTCACCAAAATTTATTGTCTTTTTGTGAACTGGTATGCTGTGGTTTTGTGTTTTGCTGATGGCTAATGTTGTTGGACGTCTCTTACTATACTTATTAGCCATTGACATATCGTCTTTGAAGAGCTGTCTAGTTAAATCTTTTGACCATATTTTAGTTGGTTTATTCATCTTTTTATTATTGAGTTTTAAGAGTTCTGTATATATTCTGGATAAAAGCCCCTTATTAGATATATGATTTGCAAATATTTTCTCTCAGTTTGTGGGTTGTCTTTTCATTTTCTTGATGGTGTCCTTTTTAGCACATTTAAAATTGTGATGGAGTCTTAATTTATCAATCTCATTTCTCACTTGTGCTTTTGGCGTCATCGCTTTGCTTACCCCAGGGTCATTCTCTATGGCTTTTCTGTTCTGAATTTCATTTATCTCCACTCTGATTTTTATCATTTCCTTTTTCCTACGTGATCGTTTTGTTTCCTAAAATGGAAGGTTATTATGTGTGTGTGTGTGTGTGTGTGTGTGTGTGTGTGTAGATAGTTCTTTAAACATAGGATTCACATTTCCCTTTAAGCATTTTGCTGCAGTCCATCATTGCTGACTTTTGTTTTCATTTATCTCAAAATCTTTTCTAATTTTCCCTTGTGACTTCTCTCATGTTTTTTTAGGGGTGTTAATTTCCACATATTTGTATATTCCCCAAATATCTCTCTACCATTATTTTTTAATTTAATTCCTTGTGTTTGGAAAGCATAGTTTGTATTTTAATCCTCGTAAATCTATTGAGGTTTATGGCTTAGCATACGGTCTGTTCTAAAAAATATTCCATGTGCACATAAGAAGAATGTGTATTCTGCTGTTGTTGGGTGTCTGTTAGAGGCAGTTTGAGCTGGTTTATAATCTTCTCTGTTCCTGTTGATTTTCTGCTTAGTAGTTTTATCCATTATTGAAAGTGGGGCACTGAAGTTCCCAACCATTATTGTTGAATTGTTCACCTCTCCCTTCGATCGTCAGGTTTTTTTATCACATATATTTTGGAGGTCCGTTGAGTGCCTATGTGTATAAAATTGTTATATTTTCTTGATAGAATGACCTTTTAGTCATTATAAAATGTCCCTCTTTATCTCTAAGAAGTGTGTATCTTGAAGCCTATTTGTCTGATATGAGTGTAGCCGCTCCAGTTCTCCTACAGTTGCCATATGCATGGTATAGTATCTTCATACTTTCATTTTCAGCCAATTTGCGTCTTTGAATCTACATTGACCTCCTGGGTCCTTTGTGCCACGCTGCCTTTTATGTGGCGGTAGAATATCCCATTTAAACTGAGAGTCTGAAAAGCAGCAGACTAATTACACACAGCTTCCTTTACGCTCGTGGCACAGAATCACTCAGAATTACACACTAAAACACTCGGGAACTCGCTCTCTGCCTTCCAGGCCAGGGGCTAATTCTTACCTGTTGACATCAACGTGCTGCCCTGAATTCAAGCACCATCTGAGTTTGTCACGGCTGCTCCTGTCTCTCTAGCCACACGTCGTTTGTTTTAGAGCACAGACCCTGTTACTGAACGGCCTGCTTCAGACACTCGACGTTAACTGGATCTTTTCTCTACATCTAAAGGAAGATTTGTTTTTGATTTTAAGTTTCAGCATGGCCTTGGCTCTCAGAAATGCACAATGAGCTCCACGTGGCACATGGATGCTTTACAGTGGAGACCTTACCACCTAATTAGACAACTGCCACCAAGAAAGGCAATCGTTTGCCAAACCACACCATAAGAACCTTCAGGTGTCTTTGGGAATGAAAGTCCTTTAATCCTGGGCAGTCCCCTCCCCTTTTGGGCTGGGAAAGCGGTTTTTCTGCCAGCAAGGAGGCTCCTTCTGCCAGCAATGCAGGATACATCTCACCTGCCTCCCCATCTCTGTAATTATACCCTGCCACTATTTTGCTGTAGAACCTTGAGCAAATCTTTCATGATTATAATAACAGTTCACAAGAGCACAGACTCCGTCCTAAGCACTTACATGTATGTATTTTTTTATTTCTGAGAACAACTCAATGAAGGTAGTTAAAATCTCCTTTTTACAGAAGTGAGTAACACATTTAGGCATTTAGTAAGTGTGTGATAAATCAGTTGAGTAAAAACAAAACAGGTGTTAATACCGGATAAGTCATTTTTCACCCCAGACGCCGAGATCAGGTACGAACAAAGAAACACTCAGCCTAGTCCAAGGAAAGGGCATGGGGACGGAATGGGCTGAGTCTCTCTGGGCCTGCTATTTATGTGGATAGCCAAAACTTCCTCCAAGATAGAATTCCACGTTGGTTACCCACAGTAACATGGCCATTCCACAAATCTGATTTTCCCTAGGATTATTTTCGTGTTACACTAAACTTTCTCATCCCTAGACCCTTAACAAGGACTCATGAGGCGGCAAAGGGCAAGGAAGGATATTAAAGAGTCTCTTATTTGATATACTTGTACATCTGATAGGCCTCTAAACTAGGAGGATGTCTATGAGCGAGAAGAGACCCCTTCACACGTCCCATCTGAGCCAGGCCCAATAAAAAGTGCTGTTTCTCTAAACTCCTAAAAGATCAGCATATTTTTGCCAATAGTTGAATTTTCACTAACCTTTTTCCCAGGTTCAATTTCAACTGAGACCCTCAAATAGACCTGTATCCTGCAAATGGAAAAACTGTGCTTCCTTTAAAGTGTCTAAGTAGGGGATGGTGTACTGCCCACACCAGTGGGTCACGGTGGCTGAAAGGACGAAAAGGGACACGAGCTTCGAGGAGTGGCCAAAATCCAGCTTCTTGCCACACAGGCTAAGACACTGATTGAGATTTTCCATGTTGTTCCAGAACGATGGCTAAGATTCAAAACTGAGAACAAAAGATGCCAAGTGGCTGTGGGTGGGGATGAGAATGCCAACAGGGCCACTTGTGAAAAGGGGCCCCTGGCGCCACCTGTTTGCTGAGCTGCAGTGTCTGAAAACTTAGAAGCCAAACGTGCAGGTTCCACACGGTAGGGACACCTCATTTCGTCCTTTGACTTCAGACTTCTCACTTCCCTGGAAGTTGTGGCCCCAGGGACGGTGAGCTGGCAGGAATCTAGGACCCAGGACTGCATGTCACTTAGGAATTTCTTTCAGAGGATTCAGCGGGATGAGAGGGAGGCTTGCTGATAGAAAGAGCAGCCGTTCCCCATGAGTCAGGGACCCTCTCAGCACGGCAGGACGATCTCTGCCAAGAACGGTCGCCTCCGGGGATGAGCAGATGTGCTGGACGGCCTGGGATAAAGCAAGTCTTCCGTGGCACCATGTGTTTATTGCTTAATTATCAGTGGAATTCAGTTTTATCGGTCGCCTTATGTTCTGACACTTCTTTGACAGCCTCCTGATGTCCCAGTTCTGTGTTTGCATTTCCTGTGAGCAAAGCAAATCAATAATTTAGATAAGAAGAAACAAATAAACATCCCCAGCCATAAAATACAGTCTGTCATAAAAAATGAGTAGGAAAACAACTCAGGGATGATACTGGATGAGCTACACTCAAAGCCACTCCAGTGGACAAAGGCCACACGTCCCCCTGATTTCCCTAGTTGGAAAAACTAGTCCACAAAGACCATCCTGAAACTGCCACTCCCCGAGATGAGGGGGTCACAGCTGGAGAGACAGGTGTTCCTCGTCCCTATCAACAGCAGCAGCAGCAGAATTCAGCTCTTATTTCTAAATATCATTTCCCAATTTAAAAAAAAAACAGGGTTCTTTGGAGAAATGGCTGATTGAGAACAGGAAATGTACAGTAATCTTCCCACCCCTCATCTGCGGTGAGGGGTCCATGCTCCAGGAACCCCCAGTCCTTGTGTGCAGCACCCCTGGAGGGAGCAGTCCTCGGCAGTACATGCAGCTGCGTGTCCCATCTTCGTTCCAGCCTCTCAAGGCTCCTTGGGGCAGAGGCGGCCGCCTGGATTTCCCACCAGGGATGGAGGATTTTGTCCCCCACTGTCGGCCCCTATGAAGGAGTGGGCCCCTGCCTGTGGCAGCCGGCTTCCGATGACTGACAGACAAGGGAGTATAAAGGCCTGGTCCTCACCCGCAGGGGCTCTGAAGGGCCATCCCATCGTCAACACTTTCCCCAGCATCTGCCAGGGCTTCTGCTGAGGTTGTGTGGCAGCTGGCTCTTCCCTGGGCCCAGCCCTGCCCCCTCCCGCCCTGCCCCAGGAGCTGACCCCAGGGGCTCTCCCTCATGAACTGCCCATCTCCACTTCAGAGTTGGCTTCCTGGCGACCTGACCTGCCACACACCACTTTTCTCACAAGGACTGAACTGCACAGAACGTAATGTTCTTATCACAGTGCCAGGTACAAGCACAAAATAAATATTAGCTGTTAGTACACATCCAAGGCATGTCTTTTTCCCCTTGTGGTTACAGATGAAAAAGAAAGAAAATCCTCTCCGAGACCAAAGGAGGTAACTGCAGTATGTGCTCGTGTTGCTATTTTGACTGGAATGTCACAAAAACAAAGACTATAGACATCCGCTTATTGAGGCATAATTCACAGAGCACACAATTCATCCGTTTAAAGCACGCAGTTCAATGGCTTTTATGTATTCACAGTCGGTCAAACATCACTGCAATCGATTCTAGAATGCTCCCATGTTCCCCAAAATACCCTGTACTCGTTTGCAGTCTCTCTTTCTCCTTCACCCAACCCCCAGCCCGAGGCAACCACTAATCTATTTTCTGTGTCTATAAATATGCCTACCCAGTGCATCGCATATAAATGGAATCATACACTATGTGGTCTTTTGCATCTGGCTTCTTTGCATAATGTTTCAAGGTTCATCCATGCTGTAGCATGTAAGTATTTCATTTTTTTTCATTGCTGAATAATGTTCCATTATAGGGATATGCCACATTGTATTTACCCTTCCATCAGTTGGTGGACATGTGGGTTGTTTCCATCTTTTAGCTATTATGAATAATGCTGCTATCAACGTTCACGCATCACTTTTTCTGTGGACATGTTTTTTCCCAGCTTTACTGAGATATAATTGACGTATAATATCGTGGAATTCAAGGTGTACAATGCATTGATTTAATACACTTCTACACTGTGAAATGATTTCTACCACGCTGTCAGCTAACACCTCCATCGTATCACATAATTATCTTTTTGTGTGTGTGTGTGGTGAGTGTGGACATGTTTTCATTTCACTCGGGCATCCATCTACCCAGGAGTAGAATTGTTGGATCTCATGGCAATTCTTTGTTTAGTCTTTGGAGAAACTGCGTTTTCCAAAGCGGCTGCACCATTTTACATTCGCATCCAGAGTGTGTGAGGATTCCAACTTCCCCACATTCTCACCGGCAGTTATTACTGCCTTTTTTTAATATGGCCATCCTAGTGGCTGTGAAGTGGTGTCTCATGGTGGTTTGATTTGCATTTCATTTGCATGTTGAACAGCTTTTTATGTGCTTATTGGCCACTTGTATACCTTCTTTGCAGAAATGTTATTCAGATCCATTGCTCTTTTAAAAATTGAGTTATCTTCAACTTTTTTTTCTTTTCTTCTTCTGTAAAAGGAATGTCACGTCCTTCACAGAGTTGTTTTAAAGATTTATGAGAGAATGCTAGCAAGGCACACAGCGCTCTGCTATAGCCTGCATTCTGAAAAGTTAGTGAATCTTCACCTCGCCTTGCCTCAAAAGTAGAAACCAAGTCGAGTTCATTTTGCAATACATCATCCAGCACAGTGCTTTGCGGGAAGACAGGCTCAATAGATGTCTGAAAAGCATAATGCGCCAATTCACACGACTCAATATGCAAATGTGAATCCTATGTGCTTTGCCCCCTTGCTCCCATTTCTTTCAATGAATCTTTTCTCTCTGGAACAATTTTCTTAATTTTATTCCCTTGCCAGCTGCCTCCTCGCCTGAAATTTTACTTGCAATGTCATTGGAGCTGATTTCAAGAGAACTAAAGACATCACCTAACACAGTTCTGAGGTGAATATGCTCAATCTTTGAAGGAGCTAAATGACTGAGCCTGCCAGAATAACCTGTCCCCTTCCGAGGGTGCAACAAAAAGTAATTAAAGTACTTAAAAGGAGAAAAATGAGATCCCGCCCACCGCCCCGCCGCCGAAAAACCCTGATTGCAGCCTGGCAGTTATTGAACATAGTTCAGTAACCCCCCATGACCCAGCCTGATCTGAGGCACGACCCCCTTTTTCATTTATGGAGGACCCAGGCCCCTGCTCAGGCCCAAAGAGTCGAGGTTGGTGGTACCCTGTCCCAGGACGGCAGAGCCTCCCGTGGGCTGGATCTGGGTGGCAGAATAGAAACAATTTGATCATTCGAGCCAAGTGGTAAGTCCACCTTGATTTCAGACTTAGTGGTGCTTTGGTGGACCCCAGGTTCAGGGTCTGGGGCATAACGCGACAGAGCCAGCGCGAAAGAGGGAAAGTGTGACTCACTGGCCTTGCACCTTCTTAAAAATCAACCCAATACCAAAGACACCAAGGTGAGAAAGCGGGTGCGCGCAATTGCCCTGTGAGAAGGATCTGCTGGATTTGGCCTTAGGCGCGGGAATAACGAGAATGTGTAAAACAAGGGAGGGAAGGAGTGTTGCATTCAGCTGTAGGGCAGTGGTCTGAGACCCCAGGCCACTCTCTCATGCCCGCTAGGACGGGCCCGGGGAGTGCTGGGGGAAGAGGGTGAAGATGGTGGAATCCTGGGGTATCGGGACGACTAGAATTCACCTGCGGAGTCCAGCAGGGCGCGGAGTCCAGCAGGGCGCAGAGCTCAGCGGCACTCTGGGCTTCCGTAGGGAACGACAAGCCCGCCCCAAGCAGGACGGATCGCCAGGCCGCACCCCCACGCGGCAGGGCATGTCGCTTTGGGGACGGACCTCCAGACTGGATCCGAGGAAGGGCGGTGGCCTGGGTGGGCTGGGCTCGGGCTCCAAGGCAAGACCGGGGGCGCGGACCGGGTCACCAATCACAGGACCCGAAGCCCCAACACCCGGCAGCCTCTGCGGCCGAAGCGCGAGACGGGGACCTCGCGTGGACCGGCCGGGCCATCCCGCGCTCCTCATTGGACAAAGTCCCGTGTCAATCACTGAGAAAACGCGACTGGACGAGACCGGACATCCGGGACGTCCCATCTCGGAGCGAGGGGAGCTCGGGGGCGGGGGATAACGATGGAAGGGTGCGGTACCCAATGGAAGGCAAGAGCTTCGTCTTCGCAGAAGATTGGCAGATGCTCGAACCACTGAGACGCCGCGGAGGGATACGGCCCGTGGCCAGTGATGGGTCTAACTTGCGGTTCCGTTGTGTGTCCAAGTCGCGCGCGCGCGCGCGCGCGTGTGTGTGTGCGTGTGTGTGTGCGTGTGTGTGTGTGTTTCTTTTCCTTTTAGAAAGCGGGAGCTTAGTTAACGCGGAAATGGAGTTGTGCTGCGCACGACGGTCTTTTTTTTCTAATAAGTATTTTGGCTTTCAGCGAAGGCTGCCCAATTTGGTAGGCTTTTCCTGGAATTACCCACATTCCCTGGACTCCTATGCAGGATCAGGGCAGGACGATAACCGGCGCTGCGCCGGGAATAATCGCCCAAATAATCAGAAATGTGGCTGTTAAGTGAGTTAAAGCCAAACTTGATGGATGGTAGTCAATGGAAAACAGGCAGAAACAGAAACGAACAGTTTACAGGAAATAAATTTGAGGAGCCCTTAAACATCGAATGGATGCCCAACCTTTTTTCTCGATAAGAAAAATGCAAAGTAAAACTCCTGTGCTAACATTTCTGACCTGTGTAATTGATAATAACCCGAAGTTTGACTAGGTGCTACGTTAAGGGTCCGTGCAGAAACTGGCTCTCTCATGTTGCTGGTGGACTGCAAATTGGTATAACTCGGGTGTGGATTGGGGAAGTAATATCTTGACAAAATAACGTGAATTGTGTGTGTGTGTGTGTGAATTTACCTTTAACCCAGCAGTTTATTTCCAGGACTCTATCCTGAAAATGAACTTCCACAAATAGGAAACGACAGGTGCACAAAGTTTTATTGTGGTCGTATTTGAATTAGCAAAAGGTTGGAAACAAAGCAAGTGTCCACTGGTGGGAGAATGGCTGAATAAGCCCGCGGGACATCAGGACTGTAACATTATACAGCAGACTTTGCAGCATTAAATAGAACGAGGAAGCCAGTGGTATTGTTTATGGCGTGATCTCTAGAGACAGTGTATATAGGCTGCTACCTTTAGCAAAAAGAAACACTGAAGGCCAAAGCCAAAACTAATTCAAATGGTTTATTCCTAAGGAGTAGAGCTGGTAGTGGTGGTGGAGAATCTGGTGGAAGCCTTAGAGGGGAAAATAGAATAATAGCAATAATAAAAGACCACAAAACAAAAATCTCTTGACAGTGGGAGTTTGCCGAGCTTGGCCATTGTTCTCCAGGGACCCAGTTCTAGACCCTGGAAGGACAGGCGTGCTTGGCTGAGTGGACCTCAAGTTATTTTTAATGGAGCCTCGGTGTTGCCTAGTCTAAGGATTTCTGGCACCCTGCCGCTCTCCGGGCTTCCTCGAGGAGGTGAGGGGGCAGGGAAATGTATAAATGACTTTTACCTATTTCAAGATAATACAAACTTTCCTTCTGCAGTGAGGAGTAGAGCCTGGACATGGATCCTAGATAGGATGGTGGGGCCAAATGGATGATATGGGTGTCTGCCGTGCCAGGCACCCCTGCAGCTGTGGCTCAAGCAGAGGCAGAGCCTCTCGCTGCTGTTCGTTGGCAGCGCCTGATTCCACGTGCACGACGCTATGGCCTTTGGAAGGCGTGAGGCCTGGTCTGCCTGGACCTAGCCATGCGTACGTCTGCCAGGCCCAGACTGCTGCCCGGATGATAAGCTTAGGCTTTGTCAAAATACGAGCCCAGGGAGGTCCTTTGGACGAGTGTATGTTCTTATCCAACTGGGAGGAACAAAACAACCTCCAAGTGATCTATTCTGAGGAAAACTACATTTTCAGATTAAAAAAGAAAATGAAAACAAATACAAAGAGTAGGGGAGAAAAGCACTGCGTGCAGAGTTCACGGCAAGCTCGCCCTCAGGTTTAAGATACTCTTCAAGCTGCATAGATTGCACGTTCTCCTCAACATGGCCACTTGGAAAGGCTATCACTTTGAGGACGAGAAGTGAGGAGACACCTAATTTTGTCCGGATAGTGGTGGTTACAACAGATCCTTTAAGGGAAGGAGGCCCCGAAAAGTCTCTAGCAAGGAGAGTCTGGTAGACAGAAATGCACTGTCCGTGGACGTGGTTTTTAACCCACTGCAGGTGTGTGATGGGTGACAAGCCACTGCTATTTTGTGTGAGCGCCTCTGGCTCAGGGCCCCAGGGCGGTGATTGGGGTACAGAGGGCGGGACTGAGAGGCTCAGACTGGTTCTCACTGCTGGGTGGAGACTGAGTGCTTGAAAGTGTCTGAGTCCCCAGACCCGGAGAGAGTTCCATTCCAACTGGCTTCTGTCAGCTCGGTGGCTCTGGGCCCTGTGTGGCAGTGGCACCTGGTGGTGTCCTGCCATGGCCTGCCTGTGGAGGTCTCCTCTCTAGAGTTTGCTCTCCTCCCACCCATTGCTGCCGTCTCCCCTCACGCTCCCAACACTTGTGAATGAACAGGACGTTTCCTCTTGGTGACAGCTTGCAGGGGAGATGTTATGATTCTGCGTTAAGTTCCTGACATCGACCCCAGGAAACTTCTAAGAATGGTTGGAATCAGCAGATACATTTTTTTGATTTTCCTGACCCATAGCAGTACTGATATCTGGGGGACATAGGGTGTCAGTTTGAAATGGGTTTTGTTTTAAGAGGACTCTTCCAGCCACAAATGGACTCGAGGGTGTCTCAGGGAGGCAGGTGGGGTGACAGAAATGGTGTAAACAGACACAGGTTACCTCAGAGCATCAGAGGGCCAGGAGGAGTGTCAGGTACACCAGGCACCAGACACTGTCTTCCAAGTCCCTGCCAGGTAACAGAGTGATCCTGGTGTCTACCCATTACCTACCCGCCCCTGCCCCTTCCTCCCAGAGCCCCACCGGGGTCCAGATAGCCCCGCCTCTAAATGGCCATGTGAGGGGTCTCAGCCAATCACGGCGGGCCCATCGCCTTGCTAGTGATTGAAGGATGGACACATGACAAATTCTGGCCAACTGGGTCCTGAAAGAAGGTAGAGAAAGATCTGGACCAGTTCCCTCCTAGAGACATGAGCAAGAGACGAGGACCCCTTTCCCGCTTCTGGATGTGATGCCTGTGTCCCTCTGGTAACCATGAAGAGAGCTGGTCTGCGACAACAGCCCGCAGTGCGAGGAAGACCGAGCTGAGAGAACTGCCCTGGGCCCGACTGCCCTGGGCTGCGCCATTCTGCCTTGGCCTCGCGTGACCTCGCGCTCTCCTTTGAAACAGTTATGTTGCTATCTGTTCTTTGCAGTCAGAACATCTGAGCGAGCCAAGTACACCAAAATTCCTTCCGTTTACTTTTCCCATCGCCGTGAGAATTTTGACTCAAATGCCACGAGTCATTTCTTTTTGGTATAATCAGAGCAGAAGGACTCGGGGAAGGAGAGGGAAATGGTGACAGTGGGAGCTACAGTTCTATAGTGCGTGTCGGGAGAGACGGCCCCGCCTTCTGACATGCATTCGGGGGACAGGACATAAAGCAATGCGAGGGGCTCCCTGGGACCCCCGCAAGAGAACAAACAATTCTGAAATCCTAAAAGTTTAAAAAAAGCAGTGACAAACATAAATTTTTTTAAAAAAAGAAAACATCGACATCCAAATGTAGGACCATACACGCAGAGAACAGACCCTCCGCCATGCGCCCTGTCAGCACAGAACCAAAAGGAATCACAGTGACAGACGGGAGGAGACCTGAGAAAATTCTCGCCAGCAAGAGATGAGGAGGTCAACTGTGCTCCCCATTAGCATTAACTTGAGGTGCCTTAAACGCCACTGCTGCTTTTAATTCAGTGCATTGGTTTAGTTTTATTTCAGCAAATAAAAAATATAAGCACTTCATAGGTTCTCCCTTTAGCATATGCTCCCTAACTCTGCGGGCTGTGCATTTTCATGCCGATGGGGTGATCAGAAACAAGCCCTGGGCAGCATGAAGAACCATTGTTATTTCCATCGTCGTGCGTTCACTGACTCGCGGGAATTTATTGATCTCATGAGGTGTCCCAGACACTGTTCGGTGAGGTCATTTTGGCATTTTATTGAATGCTGCCCGGCAAGGTTATTCTCCAGACAACTTTAATCTCCCTAAAGGTAGGCACCATGTCGCATATTTTATTTCTCCTGTCTGTAGTGTCTAGCTTAGTTCTAGGTACATTATAAGCACTCAAATAAGTTTCACTCGATTATGTGTGAAGTAATTCTCATGCGCGAATCAAAGGAGCTCTTAGAGGGGCTTAACTCTGATACAGTCATTTTGTTCCAGGATGAAGGGGAGATTGAATCAGACTTTTTGCTAAAAGAATGCTCCCTGACTGCTTGCTTCCACAGAGTTATGGAAGCTTCCAGAAATCCTCCTAAGGCAGAAAGAGAGAGTACCGTCATTAGACTGGACACGCAGGCCGCAGGACCTGATGGTCCACTTGCCCTCAGCAGCGTGGATCCCTTCCACACCCTGTGCCGGGGGGCACTGAGCCCCCAAACCAGCCCCCGGGGCTGCTGCCTGCCCTGCGTCTGCACAGAAGGCTTAATTTGGATCAGGAGACGGTCTCAGAGGTTCACCTGTGTGTAACGGCGGGAGCCTCACCAGCAGGCAGAAGCTGGAGGACTCAGAGACTGTCTCCTCTAAACTCCAGTCCTGATCCCTGTAATAGGACACATAAATGTCGGGAACTGAGAAAATCCACATCTATGGGTGTAAGAGAAAATGAAGCCTGCAAAGGGCAGAAAGTAACAAGGGCTGGGGTCCCGGGTCAGGGCGGAGTCACGGCGCGGCAGCCATGGACATCCCTCTGGGTGGCGGAGGTGGCAGCCTACATGTCGTAGAGCCTGAGCTGCTCCTGCACGTCTCCATCGGACATCTCGCCGAAGGTCTCCTTGTTGTCCTTCATGAGCTTGAAGATGGCCTCCAGCTGCTCTTTCTGAACTCTGTCGAGAAGAAAGGATACAGAGGAGAAAGATGCTCCTACCCAAGGTGCGACAGAGAGAGAGAGAGGCTGTGAGCTTCCAGGGCGGTCGGACACCCCTCTCGTGTATTTCTCCATTTGCTTCCAGAACAAGGGGAAAACTAAACCCAAACGAGACCCACTCAAAACACGGGAGCTGGTTCGGCCTAAAAAACTCAACTTGAGAGTTCTAAAAACCGGAGTTCTAAGTCTTAGTTTTGCCCTAGAGATTTGGGGACCCCCGAGTTATCACGGATTCTCGGTGCTTCCGTTTCCCCTGGAACCTCTTTATCGTGTTGACGGGACGTCACACAGTCAGGCAGGAGGAAGAAGGGATGTTCTAGTAAGTGGCTGGAGGCCCTATGAAGAAATAGGATAAAAATAGTGCTGGACGAGCCAAAAGTGGAGGGAGGAAAAGCATCATGGGCTGGGAAATAGGGGAAAGGTAGACGTGTACACACGAGGGTACAAGGGGGTGTGGGGTTTTGCTGCTCAGACAAAGGGGCAACTTCCTGTACTTCGCACAAAGACACCTTCTGGCCAGTGGGGGCCCCGTCCACGTCCCTCCTTCCAGGGACTGGGCCTGGCTGGAGAGAGGCTTTGTTTACTGTACTCAGGCTGAATGGCTGGGTGCTCCCTTATCTTTATGGGGCTCGGCCCTGCCACCTGCCACCTGCCCAGCACAGGACAACTCCCAGGAGCGTAAACACGAAAGCGCAGAGCGAAACCAGCAAAACCAGGCAATGGCGGGGTTCTCGTTGGTTCCACTCTGCTGGGCCACGCCGTGCCATATGCCAGCACCGGCTCCCTATCCCAGTTCCAGGCTTCTGCAGGCCCTCCCTGCGCACCACACCCCTGGCTTGGTGCCACCACCTCCATGAGATGTCAGCCAAACAGCAGGTGGGACCTCTGAGCCCCTCCATGCAGCTGGGTCCGCTGTGATGCCTGCAGTTCTGGCGGAGCAGGGCTTCAGCACAGCCCCCAGGGACTGTGGGCCTGCAGGGCACGGCACTGCCTCCCAGGCCAGCCCCTCCAGCTCTGCCTGGGTCGGAGCGTCCCGATTCTGGTCTCACACTGTCCTAACGTGTTCCGTCTGAAAGAACCTCGTGTCTCCCGTCCAGCAGTCGGTTTTCTCATCTAGAAGCCGAAGTACTGAATCCCCAATCCCAGCCTCTCTTCATCGCCCTGGGACAGTGATTTCTATATCTGTCCCCCGTCTGGAGGAAGAGGAGCCTGTGATAAGTACTCTGTACCCTACTGTCACGGGGGCACCCGGCCAAGGGGACACTCATTCTCTCCTGTGTGTTCGATGGCTGTGGCGTGTGCATATTTTTAACAGGGTGGACGCAGGACTTCGTACTCTGCTGGAGAGCACCAGGCATTGAAATGAGAGAAAGCTCAGGTTTTAATGGGGTCAAAGGTGGTCATTTAAAAAAAAAAAAAGCAAAACCGAACAAAAACACAGTAACTGAGATCATCTACTCAGAGTTTATTAGATTGAACAAAGGCTGAATACGCAGGCCCCAGCCGTCAGGAGTACAAGAGGCTTGGTGCCCGCCCTCAGGAAGTTTCTGGAGGAATTTAGATAGCTAACCTGGAGGGAGTCACCTGTGTATGGTATCAGTGAGCTCCCAGCCTGGGCGAGGATGTCGCGATGGCCCTGTGGAGATGTGTGTGCTCAACAAGAGTACCTCTACTCATCGTGTGGCTGTGTGGCTGCCGCTTCGTTGCCTGCTCTGCCTAAGCCCCTGGACCTGAGGTATTAGGCCCAGAGGATAAGGCCCGGGGGTTGACAGTGGACATTTCTCGGCTCTCCATTAAATGGAAAAACATTTTCTATAAACTTACTGCTTTAAAAAAAAAAATGATTTAACCAACATATCTAAAAAAACCGCAGATTCGTTTGGCATCATATAAATATTGTCAAATATAAAATTCCAAGAAACAAATCTGGGGCGGATCGGATCACCCGGTGAAGGTCTAGCTCATGTATAAAACGTCCCAGGAAACGGCATGGGCAGGAAGCCTGTCTTAAGCGAACACTGTCATCACCGCTTCAGCCAGAGCAAAGGCGGGGATCCGGCCGAGCTAGTTAGGGCGTCGGCGGGCAGGCCCTTAGCACCAGGAGCGCTGGCTGGATTCAGGCCTCCTCCACAGGGGAGAGGGGCGACGGCAAGTCCGTGGCTGGCCCTGGTTCTCTGCGGCCCGGTCGTTAATATGGCACCTCTCACCCCACAACAACCAAGCCAGACACAGAGCAAGAGGGGAGGCGGCCCCAAGGGAGAGGAGGGCAGTCGCCACCCCCGACCCAGCCGGTGAGGTGAGCTCGGCCGCTCGGCCCTCTCCCTCCATCACACCTCAGAGTCTCTCACGGTTCGGCTTCCGTGAAGTAAAAGCAGGAGGGCTGGGATAAAGCTATAGCGACTTTAAAACGACGAAGCAGCTGACGCTGCCGCTTTCTCGGGTGTGAAGGGCACATGGAGGGCAGGGCTGAGTGCTAAGAAAAATCGAGGTCCAGGGAGTGAGAACGAACTCAAAACCCTCGGGCTTAACAAAGCCATCCACGCAAACCGGGAGGAGCACCCTACACAGAGCCGAAGGCGTCCTCAGGGTCCTCCCAGCCCAGGGAAAAGTCCTGCCTGAGGGTCTGGCAGGTTTGGTAGGCAAGACACACCCCGGAAGCCTGCAAGGCCGCCTTCTGGGGGTTTCGTGTTATCTCTCAAGCTTTTAAGATGCCAAAAGGAAAAGCCTCTAGGAGGACGCTAAGGGTAACTTCATTATTCTTCGGTTCTGTAAAGAGAAACAGGGAAAAGGTCATTGATTTTACTCATTCCGCCTTACAAGTACCGTGGAGAGGAGGAGGGATGGGAGGAAGGGGAACGTTTGGAATTGCAGATCTGACACCTGTGGGGCAGTTCGCCTCTCATCACCTGCAGCAAGATAGTCTGTTCCTCAAAGTGGGGCCTTGCATGGGACCCCAGCGTCCCGCCGAGCCCCACTCCGAGTGTGCGAGGCATTCGGGTCATTAGGGCAGGTTCTGCATCCGGGTGGTTAGGCGGGCCAGGTACTAGGTGGCTCCCCTAGCATAGTCCTGTCACCTCCAGATTATGTCCTATTCTCGCTGGCTGCTTTTCTCTCTCTCTGGGGACAATGGCAGCTTAGGATGTGTGCTCTCCCAGACGAGGCCAACGGTATGCCCACCTTTTCTAAATGACGCACAGAATCTCTCCGACCCGCTGAGGAAATCCAGGGATCTATTTTGTCCCTCTGGCGCCCTCTGCTGGAGGTCAGGCAGCATGTGTTTCTAGAAATTTATACTGGCAGACCGTTCACAGACAGGTCAGCCAGCACAAAGTGGGAGAGTATCCCAGCCGGGGTTTCCCTGCCTCCTGGCACCCTTGCCCATTATGTCATACAAAGCACCTTGCACTAGAGTTGTGTCCTTTCTAGAAGGTCAGGACGGTCCTCCAGAACGCAGCGGGAGCTGGGATCCCGGGTCCTGGAGCCATCCGGGTCTGCAACCTGGGTTCCCTTTTCCTCTCTAGCAGACGGGAAGAG